TGGTTAATGCTCGGCGCCAAGAGTAAACTGTAGGTCCGCGCTTCCTCGTCTCTCCATAACGCCATGCGGAATGAACCAAGCTTCCTCACAGCGCTGAACAAATCTAGTTTTGCCTGTTCTGCCCGATCGCCCGCGTTTTTCGGAACTTTCGCTGCTTTCATTTTCCTTGTATGTTAATCTGTAACAGATAAAAGTTTTTCGCCCTCTTTTTACTTTTTTTTCGCCGTCTTTTGTTGATCTCATCTAACCATTTCTTCCCGGTCGAAAAACTGAGAAAAAATGACACCCTGATCTACGGCCGTTGCTGTCACTAAAATGCTAGCATTCTTGGTCACACCGGTGACGACGGTCACTCATCTTCGCTGTCCATCAACGGCTGCAGAGTCATGCACCAGTCGAGTGCGTCAGGTGATGACCAATGGACGGCGGTCATCGTCGTCTTACAAACGACCAACGACGTCGGCAGTTTTTGAGACTTTGGCTTTGTAGCGTAACAAAACGAACGAACGAACGAACGATTAGGCGAAACTTCATAGACGACGTAAACGCCGACCGTTGAACCAGAAACCTTGTTCACTTGACCCAAAACCAGGCCGGCAAAAGCTGTCACTGCCCTGCTGGCCACCTGGCACCGTTATGATGAGCACGGAACTCAACCCCTGGCTTTGCAGGTCGAAGACACGGACGGCTGAGTTCAGACACAACGAAGCGAGTTGGTGAGCTCTGACTGATCAGGCAGACGAATGAATAAGCTTATATGTAATGACTCATTGTACGGTTTTCTACCACTGGTTCCGAGAGAAGTTAAATATTTGACGGCTCGTGGCATTCGTGGTTCCAAGAAGCATCGGTCAGTGACGAGCAAGGAAACAAAGCTCCCGTTGTGCACTCCGCCCTGAGTCAAAAACCAGACACGTCTCCGGCACCAGTCCGCACCTTGTACCATTTGCATTACGTGCGTAACAGCGAATCGGGGCATAGCGAGAGGAGCAAAAGCTGGCACGGGGCTGGGAGGGGAGGGGGGTCACGCATCATGGATGCAAATTGCATAAGCATACTGCGATCGATTGCTGTCCTGAAGCTCTGAGGCTGCTCTTCTTCAAAAATTGCGCTTCTGCAAGTGCTTTCTAGTCCTATGACAGTCTGCGTGAGGTTACCTACATTTCACCTCAGATTTCGCCATTCGTTTCAACCAATAT